AAATTGTCGTTTGTGCTGCTTTGGCTTTGAAGATATTAATGAAAATGTAAAGGTCAAAACGTCAACCAGCCCCCCCACCTTCTTCAAATCAGACAAATGGGTGTCAATTAACTCAGCTCCGTTTGTGTTGGTTTGTTCAGCAAAAATTGTCGTTTGTGCTGCTTTGGCTTTGAAGATATTAATGAAAATGTAAAGGTCAAAACGTCAACCAGCCCCCCCACCTTCTTCAAATCAGACAAATGGGTGTCAATTAACTCAGCTCCGTTTGTGTTGGTTTGTTCAGCAAAAATTGTCGTTTGTGCTGCTTTGGCTTTGAAGATATTAATGAAAATGTAAAAGTCAAAACGTCAACCAGCCCCCCCACCTTCTTCAAATCAGACAAAAGTAGTGTCAAATGTTTGTGCTACGTTTGTGAAGCAAAAATTTTCGTTTGTGCCGCTATCATCTTAATGATATAAAGAGATGTTTCTAGAGGTCATCAAAGGTCAGCCCCCCCACTTTCTTCAAATTAGACAAACAAAGTGGCGCGTGTATGACGTCATCCGTGTGCGCTGGCTACCATTCCTTCATCCTGTCCTCTGAACTGCTGCTAGTTTTACTCACATGCCTGGAAGATGTCTAGTGCTACTACCACAGATGATCTCTCTCTGGAAATGGAATTGAACGATTCAGATTAGCTAGCTGAATAAATAGAAGGAGTAGATCGTAGCCGCCTGTGGCCAAGGCTGCCTGTCACAACTCCAGTCCGTCGTGGATGATGTCATACACACATAAATGTGCCGACTGAGTGAAATCCATTGACCTCCGTTTATTTAACCAGGATGAATAGTTGAACCCTTTTTTCCACAACAATATGGCATTGTCGGCAGGATTCTCCTTGACTGATTTTTTTCTGAGGACAGTGATTGTCAGAAGTGTCAGGTACCACCTGGAGGAAGCAGTCTTCCAGCCTCAATACCCCGTTAGAAGGTTAAGGGAGTGAGGACTTCTGACATCGAGGTCCCTGGAGGTCAGCAGGAGGATCAAAACCAACCATTCCTTTCTTGAGACGGTGAGAGGAATCTTTTTGTCGGCACAGTTTAAATTGAATTTCAAAAACCAAATTACAAAACAACAGATTGTTAACAGATTTAAAGATTACTAGAAATCAAATACTAGAAAATTTGCTCAAAGTCCTCTTCTTCTCCATTAAAATAACCAAATAAATAAATGTAATCTAGCTAAAATAAATAAACTAACTAAATTAAAGATTAATAGGTTAATCATTTTAATGC